TATATATATATATATATATATATATTAAAAAGTGCTCTTCATTATTTCCGATCTTGCGTTGACTTACCAATCATCAACATAGTATAGTACTCGTCTACGTCCAACCTCCGTTCAAAATTGACATAGTATGGTGGTGCATCCAAATCGTGTGGATTGAGATCATTTCCAAAGTTAGGAATGTGTTCATAGAAATACTTTAACTGTTGAAAAGAAAATATTAAAAACGCAAGTAGTGCTAATTGATATAGAGTACGAGTGAGGATAGTAAAGTTCTAGAATATGTATTCATGTTTGCATTGATACTGGCCCTCCATTCATCCTTGGAGTTCCTATATATATTTCATCAAATCAGATTGGTCACAAAAAGCTATACCCGTCGAATTGTGTATTAAAATATATGCTCTCATGCTGAGGTAAGTGGACTTTATTAAAAACAAGTAGTAAGTAACTATCATTCAAAGCATGACTCATCATTTCCGGAATCTGCCTATATTAAATGGGGGAAAAAATTGAACTATTACCTTGAGTTCGTATTTGGCGGGATGATCAACAATATCTGGTAAGATTTTGTGCTCTTCCATTTTTTTCTTAATCTCTTTGGGTTCGTATTTGGCGGGATGATCAACAATATCTGGTAAGATTTTCTGCTCTCTCATTTTTTTCTTAATCTCTTTGGGTGGTTTTTTAACGATTGCGAAAGATATATGCAATAAAACAAAGAGGAAAACTAATTGAAATAACACAGTTGTAGTGTATCGCAAACAAATTATGAATCTTGTCATTATGTTCATACATCAAGCATTTGTATACACATATGCACAAAAACTCCTATACTCTATTCACAGTAATTTTAAGATACCAGATTTTCTCTGAAAATAAAATATAGCAGCTATCAATGGGTCACACACTTTTTTATCGAGATAGTGATTGCAGAAGTGTAAAGAACTGTGTCTTCAAGAGCAGATATTACAAATAATAACCGAGCAAGTGTCCTCCTTATAATATTGATGCCTAGGAAACTGTCACAATCATCCTTGATGATAATCAAATCTAATCAGTAACTTCCACTCAAAACGAGTTGATGATCTAAACGAGACGTAACAGTCGTAACACCCAAATTATCCGATCCATATAACCAAATAAACGCCGTGACTTTGACGAAAAAGAGTTTGCCCTCGAATGTGATGCTTTTTTTGGTCAGCAGGGAGATATCGGAATCGATGTCAGAGTCCCTAAGATATAAGTTGCGAAGTTTACTCCATTTTTGCAAGGAGCTTTATTTTTTGATGAAAATTTCTTGAAGAGTTCTTCTATTCATGATGAAAAAAATGTGCAAACGTCCCGTGACTCAAATTTTCATGGTTTGTATTTGAAAAAGTAACAAGTTGGTTTTTGCAATCGCTAGCGATAGCAATATTCGTCATGGGAAC